TGTCAAGTAAACAGTGTGTGCATGCGTGGTATCCCTTGTTTGTCTGTCCTGAAAGGTTACTGAGAGCGGGCCAATTGTTGATGGTCACGAACAGCAACGCCTTTAGGTCAAATTCCTCCTGTTTGTGCTCATCCCACGTACGTACACCGTTTCCATTCCACAGTTGTAAAAGTTCTTCAACTAATGGCCTTAGGTACACATCAATGTCATTGCCGGGTTGCTTAGGGCCTTGGATGAGAACTGGCATCATAATGAACTTCCGCTTCATGCACATCCAAGGAGGAAGGTTATACATACATAGAGTCACGGGTCAGGTGTTGTGATTGCTGCTCTGCTCCCCGAAAGGATTAATGCCATCCGCGCTTAAAGCAAACCATACGTATCTTGGGTCACTTGCAAACTCATCCCAGTACTTTCTCTCGATTTTTCTCCACTGCGACCCGTCAGCGGGTGCTCTCAACTTCCCGCCTTTCTTACGGTCCTCACTATGCCATCGCATCAACTTGGCATGCTCTCCGTTTCTGAACAGACGTTTCAACCGTGGTATTACAGGAGCATACCACATCACCTTCCCAAGAACCCTCTTCCTGGGGGGCTCGCCGTCAACATCACCAGGGTCATCTCGTCTGATCTTATACCGTAATGCACCGCGGTAGAGGATGCAGTCATTAGGGCATGCATGTATCTTCTGCACCTCCAATCCTAGAGGGCATACGACCTTCTTCGTTGCGTATGTACTGTCGGGATATTCGTTATCCTTTGGAAGCTTCTTCTTCAATATTTTCAGTAGCTTCTCAAATCCTTTGTCAGGCACATCATTCTCTGTCTTCCACTGCAGCAATTCCAGTACGGTACCAAGCTTTGTGTTGCCATCTTCGCAATTGGGGTACAACCCTTTTTTGTGATCCTCTAACATGCGATCGAACTTCAGCTTCTCCTTTTGACTTTCGCATTGCGTCCTTGCATCGACAATGACCCGGCGGAGATCATCATCATTGAGCACATCGTCTGGTTCCTCTTGATCTTCAGCAGCTTCACCCGTTGCAGCATCATCGTGCACATCGTCTGGTTCCTCTTGATCTTCAGTAGCATCACCGTATTCAGGGGGCACATAGTTGTCATCGTACTCTTCTTCTTCGCCGTCTTCCATCATAACCCCTATTTCTCCGTGCCTCGTCCAAACATTATAGTGTGGCATGAAACCCTTGTAAAGCAGGTGGGTGTGAAGGATTTTCCAGTCAGAGTAAGACTTCGTATTCCCACATATAGGGCATGGACAACACATAAAACCATTCTGCTTGTTTGCCTCAACCACTTCGAGAAAATCATGCACGCCCTTAATGTACTCGGAGGTGCGTCTGTCACCATACATCCATTGCCGGTTCATCTGCGTGCATTATATATAATTAAGTGTGTCAAAAATCATTACAGAACATCATGAATAGATAATTAAGTGACCAAATTAATAGAAGTTCATCATCACATTAAAACCAAAGTACATACATAGTTCTCATCTAACAACATAAAACTCTGCAGAGCATCTAAATTAATTAAACCATACATTGAAACTATGTAAAACATTTCAATGCAAAAACAAATGCGATCATAATCGCAACCACGGTAACAACTGATCCAACGGCATAATGATACCAAGCCTCGGTATGAATGGCATATTTTCTAATCTTTCTAATCTTCAAGCGCATTGCATCCATCTTGATCTTGTGATCATCTACGACATCCGCAACATGCAACTCCAATATCATCTTCTCCTCCTCAATTTTTCTTATTTTTCCTTCAAGAAATTGTTTTCTTCTTCAACTAAATTTAACCTCTCGACAATAGGGTTGGTTGGAATTTCCGGTTCAACAACCTCCTAGATAAATAAAATCTATGTCACATTGGTCGGCATAATTTTCATAAACAATAAATGAACCAAATAGTTATGAAAAGATAATATATACCACATCCGAATCATAGACAGGACGAGGACCGACGGGGGTGGATACCAAAACCATCGCAGTATATAAGATGCAATAATAAAAGTAAGAAAACAATACAAGTATCTATCTAAACATACAAGTAAGAATATTGTTCCTTTCAGAAAGAAGATAAGAACAAGAGGCTCACCACGGTGGTGCCGGCGATGAGATCAGCGTGGGTGATCGACGGCGGTGAAGACGGGGACTGGGCGTGACGGACCGCTAAACCTAGAAAAATATTGAGGAAAATGAAGCTTGGAGGTCGATCTTGGAGAGGAGAAAGCTTAAATAGTGTGGCTCGGGCATTCCATCGAACACCTTGTTTGCATAGGAGGTGAGCTAGAGCACCACCAAGCCCTCTCCCCCTCGGCGTCCAGAAAAAATAGAGCAGTGTGCTCTGCTCTTACGCGATGGGGTATATATAGGCACCTCATTGGTCCCGATTGGTGGCATGAACCGAGACTAAAGGGAAGCCTTTGGTCCCGGTTCAAGCCACCAACCGGGACCAATGGTGGTGGGCCAAGAGCGAGGCCCATTGGTCCCGGTTCGTCCCACCAACCGGGACCAAAAGGTCCAGACGAACCGGGACCAATGGCCCACGTGGCCCGGCCGGCCACCGGGGCTCACGAACCGGGTCCAATGCCACCATTGGTCCCGGTTCTTGACTGAACCGAGACTAATGGGCTGACCCGGCCTGGACCATTGCCCCCTTTTCTACTAGTGCTACTAGCTCGGGACCCCCTACCCGAGATTCGCCAGGATTGACTCCATCATTTATCCTAGTGTGACAAGATGAAATACATTGTCGACCTATGCCAGTCGGCCCAATGTTTGGTTGAATCGGTCATGAACATGCCAACGCTAGCTAAGTGAAGCTCGGTTTGAAAGAGATTGGATAACTAGTTTATTTAGTAATGTCAATATAACCAATGTTATTGCGCAAATGGGTCTGTTCATACGCATCTTTCTTGGTCAAACACTTTTGTTCTTGTGCTTAAGACTGTTTGAGGCCCAAAAATATCCAAAACAAATTTTATTTAGGCTTAGTCTCGCCTATCATACAATTAGGTGTAGGTACTAATAAGCAAGCCCATTTACCTATTTTGACATGACCATCTCTATACAATTAGTATCACATGACATATAACTACTCATTAGGGGTGCTCGGGCTGTACGAGCCTAACAACAACATTGTATAAGTTGGATGAGGGAACAGGGTACAATGATTCGCACAATCGCTGAGGTAGTTGAATTAGACAACTATGGGGCGATCTTGAGGCCATATGATTGACAATGAATGTGTTGACATCTAGGAAGATGAACATAGGGAAGGGATGGTGATAGTGTTGTGGGAGGTGGAGATAGAGACATTGTTAATGACAGATACAGTCAAGGATATGGGTCTTGTCATTTGCTGACGTTCGTGTGGCTGCAAGATCTATTTCATAGATGTACATTTCATGAAAAGAGTAGCAGGGGGTATTATACAAGGAATGTAGCAGCGGGTATTACATAGGTAATCGTTGTGCTCAATGGTACCACAATGATGAGTAAGACATCCTACAAATGCTCGGTCGATCAATCGAAGCGAGACTTTACCCGAAGATAAATGATGTCTCATGTTTACTTCATCGAATAAAATATGTGTTGTCCTGCCTAAGAATAGAAGTATTTATTTGGCTTATTCAAAACAGAAACGAACAGGTACGCCACGCAAATACTTACATGGGCACGGAAGGAAAAGGTACAACAAAGGCAACAATGTTGGTAGCTAGCTAGCCTGCAAAATATTCAACCATCTCAACGGGGTGGCCATGACAAAACGGAAGGCTCTTTTTGCAGAAACCGACACACCGAATGTTCGGTGGAAGTTGTCGTGCATATATCATACCTATTGAAGTAAAACCCAGTTTTTATAAGGCTGGAATATCTGGTTTTATATAGCAGTGTAAATACAACCAAGGTTATGGTGCAAATGGACCTTGTAGCTGGGAGATATGGATCTCTTCATCAGCAAATCTCGCTACAGCTGCAACATCTATGTGGCAGGGAAGACTTAGGGACTAACTATGTGCAAGTTACTCAAATTGGGAGTTTTTTAGGGATACTCGAATTAGGAGTTGACTATGCCCATGCAGAAGAATGGGAGCAAATTATAGATCGGCATATTGGGGAGAGAGTAGGAGGGTTTATATGAAAAATGCGATCACGGTTGGAGTGGAACCTTTAACATGATGATGAGGAAGGCATCTTACAATCGTGCAGTCGAAATATTGAGCTGAAGAGTATACTACTCCCTCCGTTCTTAAATATTTGTCTTTCTAGAAATTTCAATAAGTGGCTACATACGAAGCAAAATGAGTAAATCTATACTCTAAAATATGTCTACATACATCCGTATGTTGTAATCATTTTAAATGTCTACAAAGACAAATATTTAGGAACGGAGGGAGTAGAAGGTAACGAATGGCCTATGTTTTCCTATATGCAAATAACGTATATTCCGCGCAACCTAAAAGCGGAAGTATTTATTCGTCTCATGCAAAACAGAAACAAACATGAACGATACGCAAAATACTTACCTGGCCATTAACAGATGGAAAGGCACGAGAAAGGCAACAAGGTTGTCAGCTAGCTAGCCTGCAAAGTGGAAATATCCATGGGTGGCCATGACAAAACCACAGGGCGGCTTTATTTGCAGAAACCAGCTTGGCCGGCTTTGGGAGCACCACTCGCGGGGCCTGTTAATTGTGGAAAACCCGGGGTGGCTCCGTGCTTTTACGCGCACAAACAGCCGGCAAGCAAAAAGGAGAAGCGCGTCCGCCTCGTGCGTGCGTGCCCCCGTCCCCCCGCACTCCCTTCTCCCTCCCTCCCACGCGACGCGACCACCCAGAACGGCACGGCGCCACACCGACCACTAGTTTCTACCCCCTCGCCCTCCCCGTGGAAGCTTCTCTCCCCACTCCCCACCTCGCTGGCCTCTGCTTGAGTGCTCCGGGGAGGCCGGCTGGGGCGCAGTCGATGGCGAGGGTGATGCACCGGTCGAGCTCGGACGGCGGGTCGAGCAGCGGGTGGTCGGAGGCGGCGGCGGTGGGGGAGGAGGAGAGGGCCGGGTGGGAGGTCCGGCCGAGCGGGATGGTCGTGCAGGCCCGGGACAGGGGGGCCGACGGCGCCGCGGCGGGGGTGCCGCCCAGGCCGCCGCCGCCGGAGATCAGGGTGCGGGTCAAGTACGGCGCCGCTACCCACGAGGTCGCCGTCTCCTCCATTGCCACGTTCGGTCAGTATTTATCTCGTCGCCTTATTGAGATTCCCCCCCTTTCGTTAATAATCTCCTTCCCTGTTAGCGAGTAAGTAATTAGTACCTTGCTTAATTGCGGCTTAACTTTCCTGTCATCGTCGCCGTCGTTTCTTCTGCGCGAGACACGAAACTGAAATTCGTGCTAATTACTTTGAAATTACTTTTGGTTTGCGTTCAAACTGTTAATGATGTGAACGAAGTGGCAGAGATAGTAAAAAAAAATTGGCTATCGGTGCCAAAAGTTCAACCTAATCACGTCGCCAAGTGTATATTTTCCGCCAAGTTTTGACGTTCGGCGTACGGCATAAAAATGCGTGCTGGCCAATAGGGAGTTCGTGGCCGCGGATAAACTAAAAAATAAAGATAGTCCACCTATCGAATTTATCGACTAAATCCGTCCTATAAAAAAATGGCCATGACATGTTAAAAGAAATGGCCATGACTCCCGGCCGTGCCGCGTGGAGGATTGAATGCCGCCGCGATGATAGTAGTACGGCCAGACACCCCCCTTGCCACCATTTTTCTCCTCTTCTTCCGACTATTTTATAAGGAAGGAGACGAAATCCAGGGAATAATCCGTGCAGAGCCCGTGATTTCTTGATCCGTGAGAAGAGCAGAGATCTTTTTTTTTTAGTAAAAGGGAGCCGCGCTCTCCGATTTCATTTCGTTAGCCTAAGGTCTTTGCTTCCCACCAAGTATTTCTTTAGCAGAAATTCCATGTCCTGAATCTACCACCGCGAGAATTTGTAGTAGTACTAGTACGTTCCTGGATTACTCTGCTAAAATATATCTAAAAAAAGAGATTACATTCTGCTAACGTAGGCTTCAGTTCCCAAAATCGTACGACCCTGGATTCCTGCCGGCCGCGGGATCCCGGCGTCCATTGGCCGGGCTCCAGCCCCGACGCACTTTCAGATGCAACGTCGTGCAACGTGCAGGCCAAACTTTGGTTGGAGATTACGAGGCTCATCGACCGACCAGATTTGCTGTTAAAACCAGTTCGTCGCTTTGCTTTTTCACCTTTGCCTCACGACAAGGGGTGACGGGCAGTGACAGCCAGCGGCGAGTGTCTAGCGCGAGCGCGAGCGCGAGTGTCCAGATACGGGGCGATCCTGGCTGGCGCAGGGCGGGTCCGCGTGTACGGCGGCCTCATCGGACGGCCAGCAGCGGCTGGGGCACTGCTCGCTTGTCCCGTTGCACCGACACCTTTCCGCCACATGATGATACTACTACTGTTGGGAAAATAAATCGGAGGCGTCGCCCACCACGTTCCACTCCCATTCTCCGAAACCCATGCACAGCCAGCTCAAAAAAAATTGACACACCCAAAATCAATTTTCAAGCAACCTCATACATAGCCGGTTTTATAATTTTTTGAACTTTTTTTTATCTGAGACTTAAGAGTAGAGAAACCGGAAGTGACTGTGTCCCAGCAAAGCAAAAGTACCACAGGCAAATGCCACACCAACTCTGAATCAAAATGTTGTTGGCCAGTGAGTGGCACGACGATCCAGCAGTAATCAGCTGTGATGTGCAGTAATTTTGCTGGTTTCGTACTACTTCTGATTGGTTTGTTGGTGGCGGATGGTGGTGGTCGCGCAGGTGAGCTGAAGAAGGCGCTGGCGCCGAGGACGGGGCTGCAGCCGTCGGAGCAGCTGGTGACGTACAAGGGCCGGGAGCGGAAAAACTCGGAGTTCTTGGACAGGTTCGGCGTCAAGAACAAGTCCAAGCTCGTCGTCTCCGAGGACCCGGCGAGCCTGGAGCGGCGCTACATCGAGCGGCAGAGGAACGCCAGGATCCAGAACGCCAACCGTGCCATCGGCGCCATCGCCCTCGAGGTCGACAAGCTCGCCGATCAGGTATGCACAACCACACACGCACAAATTGCATTTCCTTCCACCACCGACGGTCGATCACTGACAAAACGAGCTCCTGACAGCTAGCAGTGACAGTCTGCCTTATTTAGAGATGATCTAGTGGCGGGTAGAAATGGAATGCTTTGTCTTTTTAGGCGTGTAATTAGTTGCAGTCTCTCCATCCTACGTAGAAGAGAATCAGTTGCAGTTTCAGTGTGTGTGGCGTCAGGCACGCAGGCATGGGACGGAAGGGGAATGCTGCTGCTGCGTTCGCATTGAATCGCATGTCCAGCGAATTAGGTGAGCAAATTGACGCCGCGAGCTTGTCCAAAAAACATAATTGATGCTTCGTGCGTGGCTGTCGATGGATCGATCGATGTGGTCATGTACTGATGTGGGCGCCGGTGAAATTTCCGTCGGCAGCAGCATGGTCCCGGAGTAGGGTTCATTCAGCGTAACCATCGGGATTCTGGCATTACGACAGGAATCCGTCACTCCGTCACTGACTAGTGACGAGTAACAAGGATGCTCTCACTTTCATCATTGCTGCCCGAAGCGGCCGGTGCCTGCATCTGACGTCCCTGCCTCTGATGCTGTGATTGTGAAGCTGAACGAATGCTAAAATAATTATTCTCTTTTCTTGTGGCACCAGGTGACGAGCATCGAGAAGTCGGTGTCCGGCGGGAGCAAGGTGGCGGAGGTGCAGATCACGACGCTGATCGAGCTGCTGATGCGGCACGCGGTGAAGCTGGAGAGCATACCTGCCGACGCCGACACCTCCTCGCAGAAGAACCTCCAGGTACCCCCACCGCACACCCTACATTCACTGCACACAGATCAGGTTTAGGGGCATCGTGCCATTGGTTCTGGTACAACTCTCGCCTTCGATGAGGGCAGGGTGGGGCTGTCGGCGTCTGCGATCCGCATCATTGCGTCTGCATGTAATGCAAGCAGTGCCATGACCAGCGGTGCAATGCGAGTGTCGACGAGGAATGCAACGTGTGGGCGAGTGCCCTACATGCCCCCCGGGACGGTCACAGGCTCATTGGCTCCTTTCTGGAGGACACGTACGTGGTCCAGTACAAGCACAGGAAAAACTCCACCTCCACACCTTTCTCCTGTTGCGAATGTTAGGTAGATAGAGCTCTTGGATGCCAGCCTAGCCGATCCTGGAGTGTACCCTGAACGCGTCGCATGCAGGATGCAGCCTAGTGAGTAGCTTCCACTGATCCGTAAGCAGCAAAAAATCTTAGTTAAAGGGGTGAATAATGTGCTCCCTGACTGTGCTGTAGTTTACAAAGAGTAGATGACAAGAAAAGTAGATTGCCATGAAGTGGTGCAGGCTGTTGGTAGGTCACTAGCACAAGCAATGTGAGACTGAGACCAAAAGTCTGGGCCTCAAACTTTCATCATTTATCTGCTATGATACCTTCATGCCACCTCGAGATTAGAACGGAAAAGCTCCTTTACTTTCTGTTCCGATGATAATGACATGCGGATAAACAAACCACCTAGTGAGTATGTGTGGTGTTGTTGGTGAAACCATGAGTGTAGCCCAGTGTCTTGGAGAAGAAAGCTGATTTGATTCTTTTGTTGGCAGGCGAAGCGGGTGCAGAAGTGCGTGGAGGCGCTGGACGTGCTCAAGGTGTCGAACGCGCGGCTGCAGACGGTGCTGGTGACCACCAAGTGGGAGACGTTCGACAACAGCCCCCCGGTCACCACCAAGTGGGAGATCTTCGACTGATTTAAGCAGCAGCAGGGCAGCAGCAGCAGAGATTTTTTCTTTATACAGAAGAGTGTCCATTTCGTTCGTTTCGTGCCGTCAGTTTTGGTGTCTTGTTCCTTGCCCATTATTCGTTTCTGTAATCGCGGTGAGCTGGTTTAGGTTAGCAGGTCGCGGGAGGACCCCGGATCCCACCGTTTGTTTCGTCTGTTTGTAATCATCGTCGTCGTCGTCGTCTTCACACCCGCTCGATTGATGGATCTCACTCCAATAAACAGCAAAGCAGCACTGTTCTTTAGTGTGCTCTCGAAAGTGCAATGTGTGCTGATGAGTAGTGAAACTAGTGATGGTGCGGAGATTTGTGCGGGAAGCAATGGTTGATGCGTTTCACTCACCGATAATAAGCTAGCACCGTACTAGTGGCGTAGTAGCATCTGGCAAGAGTAGCTAGTAGCGCCTGCACGCCACTCGGCGCCGCGCCGACGACACCAGACGCGGCTTGGCGGGTAGCACGCTGGCCGGCCCACGCGATTGACGGTACGGGCGCCGCGGGAGGGAAGGCGGTGCCATGCCATGCTGCCGTGCCCGCCAGGCAATGGCACCTCTGCCGAGGAGAACGCCTCCGGGACGGGACGGCACCCACGAGGCGACCGCCACGCGAGGCAAAATTTCGTGTTTTAACCCTTTTTCTAACAAATTCAGGATCTGACCCCGTTTGAAGATATTTCTGGATCTGACCCTTTTGCCTACCGCCAGGGGCGTTGGCGGTAGGTTTGCAGGCCCTGCCGCCAATAGCTCTGGCGGTAGGCCCTTTGACGGCGACTGACGGCCGTCAGCGCGTGTTGACGTGGAAAAGGGCCTACCGCCATGGGCTCTGGCGGTAGGATACTGAATCCTACCACCAGCACCTCTGGCGGTAGGGTACTGGGTGGTGGATAAGGTGGGGAGGGCCTGGATATTTTCTCCCCCCTTCTCAACCACTCATTCAGACCTCACACTACTCGCCTCTCCACCGAGCTCAAGTCTCCCCCCGTCTCTCTTTGAAGCACAAGAGCCTCTCAAATCTCTCTCATTTGTTTGAGATTGTCTCCAGTGGACTCTTACCATTTTCATCACCCAAGGTAGCTCTCTCATTTCCCCTCATTTTGATTGGTTGATATCTTTGTATAGTTTGCATTTGCTCATTTGGTTGCAAACCCTAGCTCATGTGGTCAAATCAATTCATATGATCCATTTATGGTTATGTTTGGGATTTCCTTATGTATGGTGTGCTTAGAATTGTTTGTAGAATAGTTTGTGTAGCTAGATCTAGTGCTAGTCTTAGGGCCTGTTCGGTAGCTACCTAGCTTCTCGATCCAACAAATCCGCAGTGGATCTACCCCGAACAGTCCGGCTCCCGGAAGCTGGCTTCCCGGATCTGATAAGGTTCTACGTGTAAAAAACTGGAGTGGCGTATTGGGTGATCCCAGGAAAAACGAGATCTGGAGTTAGCCTAATTTACGAACGAATGCCACCGCCAAGTGACTCCAGGGGCACGTACCGGTTCTCTATATTCTCTTTCCCCTCTCCCGATATGTTATCTCTCGTGAGCGGGCCACCTTACCTCACTAATAGGCCAACTTCGCTCCTTCCTGTGTTGGTGGCCCATATAAAAAAATAGAAGCTGGATCGATGGCACCAAACTATTTTCTCATCGACGATTCGCCCGATAGAAGCGGGAAGCTGGCATGCGGAGCCGGAGCTGGAGATTTTGCGAAGCTAGGCAACTACCGAACAGGCCCTTAGTGTACATAACTGGGATTGGGTTAAGCTTAAGAAAGCAATTAAACATAAGTTATTTTAATAGCAACTTCTTGAAATGTAGGATGGCATGGTTCGTTTTCTTTGAAGCTTCTGCCGAGGCGGCGGCGAACCGTGAACCCGAATTGATTGAGGAAACGATGAACTTGTGGGTGGAAGCCATTGATGCGTTGAATGCGGAGTGTAGGGCCTTTTCACATTATTATTTCAATAATGACCGTTCAGAAAATTTTATCAAAAAAAAGAGAGGCGGATGAAGAAGCTCAAGACGGCGGAAAAAAATTGTAGGCGTGATCCTGCAATGCAAATTGCATTGTGTGTGACAAGGGGAGAATATGCTGAGATAGACATGGGAAATCATGGTCAGGTCATTGATTGGTTAGTTCGCCAACCATTCTCGTCGGACGAGAAGCGGGCTTCTCGTTGGGCATGGGTCAAAGAAATAAATGATGTTATTTGTTGCAACCCGGGACCATACGCCACATAGAATTGCATGAGGCTATGTCATCTTTGTCATTTGGACTGTAATGACATGTACCCTTTGCTTGGTCGTCATTTGAACTATTATGACTTGTACCCTTAACATTTGAACTCATTAAGAACTTGGTGTTGTATGTCATGTCAAGTAACCAAGTGTTGCACTTCATTGAATTTATTTTGAGTTTTGTTGTATGTCATCTTAAACCCGTATATTCATGTAGGATGAACATTCGATCCATGACTATGAACATAGCGTTGTTGGAAATATGCCCTAGAGGCAATAATAAAATGGTTATTATAGTATTTCCTTGTTCATGATAATTGTCTATTGTTCATGCTATAATTGTATTGACCGGAAACCGCAATACATGTGTGAATACATAGACCACAACATGTCCCTAGTGAGCCTCTAGTTGACTAGCTCGTTGATCAACAGATGGTCATGGTTTCCTGACCATGGACATTGGATGTCATTGATAACGGGATCACATCATTAGGAGAATGATGTGATGGACAAGACCCAATCCTAAGCATAGCACAAGATCGTGTAGTTCGTCTGCTAAAGCTTTTCTAATGTCAAGTATCATTTCCTTAGACCATGAGATTGTGTAACTCCCGGATACCGTAAGAGTGTTTTGGGTGTACCAAACATCACAACGTAACTGGGTGACTATAAAGGTACACTACGGGTATCTCCGAAAGTGTCTGTTGGATTGGCACGAATCGAGACTGGGATTTGTCACTCCATATGACGGAGAGGTATCTCTGGGCCCACTCGGTAATGCATCATCATAATGAGCGCAATGTGACTAAGTAGTTAGTCGCGGGATCATGAATTAAGGAACGAGTAAAGTGACTTGCCGGTAATGAGATTAAACGAGGTATTGGGATACCGACGATCGAATCTCGGGCAAGTAACCTACCGATTGACAAAGGGAATTGCATACGGGATTGCTTGAATCCTTGACATCGTGGTTCATCCGATGAGGTCATCGTGGAACATGTGGGAGCCAACATGGGTATCCAGATCCCGCTGTTGGTTATTGGCCGGAGAGGTGTCTCGGTCATGTCTGCATGATTCCCGAACCCGTAGGGTCTACACACTTAAGGTTCGATGATGCTAGGATTATAAAGGAAGTTTGTATGTGGTTACCTAATGTTGTTCGGAGTCCCGGATGAGATCCCGGACGTCACGAGGAGTTCTGGAATGGTCCGGAGGTAAAGATTTATATATGGGAAGTCCAGTTTCAGTCACCGGAATAGTTTCGGGGGTTATCGGTATTGTACCGGGACCACCGAAAGGTGTCCGGAGGTCCACCGGGTGGGGCCACCTGCCCCGGGGGGCTTGATGGGCTGAATATGGGAGGGAACCAGCCCCTAGTGGGCTGGTGCGCCCCTACCCAAGGGCCCAAGGCGCCTAGGGTTGAAAACCCTAGGGGAAGGGGGCGCCTCCACCTTGCTTGGGGGGGGGGGGCAAGCCTCCCCTCCTGGCCGCCGCCCCTCCCCTCTAGATGGGATCTGGAGGGGGCCGGCCCCCTCTCCCCTTCCCCTATATGTAGTGGGGGTGTTGGGGCTCCCAAGAACATGAGTTTTCCTCTCTCCTGGCGCAGCCCTACCCCTCTCCCTCCTCGTGTCTCGCAGTGCTTGGCGAAGCCCTGCTGGAGTGCCACGCTCCTCCATCACCACCACGCCGTTGTGCTGCTGCTGGACGGAGTCTTCCCCAACCTCTCCCTCTCTCCTTGCTGGATCAAGGCATGGGAGACGTCATCGGGCTGCACGTGTGTTGAACGCGGAGGCACCATTCTTCGTGCTTAGATCGGATTCGGCCGCGATCTGAATCGCTTCATGAACGACTCCACCGATGCGTTCTTGTAACGCTTCCGCATCACAATCATCAAGGGTATGAATATGCACTCCCCTCTCTCTCGTTGCTAGTATCTCCATAGATTGATCTTGGTGATGCGTAGAAAATTTTGAATTTCTGCTACATTCCCCAACAGTGGCATCGTGAGCTAGGTCTATTGCGTAGATTCTATGCACGAGTAGAACACAAGTAGTTGTGGGCGTTTGTTTGTTCAATATGCTTATCGTTACTAGTCTTACCTTGATTTGGCGGCATCGTGGGATGAAGCGGCCCGGACCGACCTTACACGTACACTTACGTGAGATAGGTTCCACCGACTGACATGCACTTGTTGCATAAGGTGGCTAGCGGGTGCCAGTCTCTCCCACTTTAGTCAGATCGGATTCGGTGAAAATGGTACATATGAAGGGTAAATAGAAATTGGCATATCACGTTGTGGTTTTGGCGTAGGTAAGAAACGTTCTTGCTAGAAACCTATAGCAGCCACGTAAAAAACTTGCAACAACAATTAGAGGACATCTAACTTGTTTTTGCAGCATATGTCGTGTGATGTGATATGGCCAAGAAAGATGTGATGAATGAAATATATGTGATGTATGAGATTGATCATATTCTTGTAATATGAATCACGACTTGCATGTCGATGAGTATAACAACCGGCAGGAGCTATAGGAGTTGTATTTATTTGTTGTATGACCTGCGTGTCACTGAATAACGCCGTGTAATTACTTTACTTCATTGCTAAACCGTTAGCCATAGTAGTAGAAGTAATAGTTGGCGAGACAACTTCATGGAGACACGATGATGGAGATCATGGTGTCATGCCGGTGACGATGATAATCATGGCGCCCCGAAGATGGAGATCAAAAGTAGCAAT